CTTCCTGTGTCTGCATCATCACATGGCGAGTGGTCGCCGTCTGTCTGTCTGTCCCTGGGGTCATTCAGAACACAGGAGGGCTGCCTGCTTACACGAACAACCAGGGACAGAATTTTGCTACTTTTGCTATCGAAACAAATGAAATAATTGAGAGTAAAGAGAGATGACATGGTCCATGGCTTAAACTAGGAATAATTTTTCTGTTGATTTAAAAAAAAAAGAGTGGTAAGACATAGTAACTCATTTATGTTATGGCTTAAAGTGGTTTGTGGCTGGTCAGAAGTCTGACTAACCACTCCTGTGTTTAGGTCTCCCTTCAGGTAAATCAGACTAATGAAGCTGGGTTTGACTGTCACATAGCAGTGAGCTGTTGTATCACCCTTCTGGGAAGCTGGTCATGCACTTTTCTGATTCCTCCCCCAAAACCATGTTGATTGGATGTAGAATGCTGAGAATAATTATGTTTTAGTATTTTAATTTTTTTCCCCTTAACTTGCATGAACAAAATTGCACTTTTCTGGAAACTGTGTATGAAGACCTTAATGTATAGATTTCTTACTAGTGGTAGAATAAACATTTTTTAATATTAACAATAACTTATAAAATAAACTTGACCATTACTTGATTTTCTTTAAAGTCAAATTAAAAATAGTTCAGATGTTCCTCAATGCTCAGTGGGGCAGCATCTCAGTAAACCCATCGTAAATTGAAAATACCGTAAGTTGAAAATATGTTTAATAGACCTGACCCCAAACATAATCGCTTAGCACAGCCTACCTTAAACATGCTGAGAATCTTACACTTTACTTTAGCCTAAAATTGCGCAAAGTCACCTAACATAAAAGCCTGTTTTATAATAAAGTGTTGAATATATCATATCATTTATTGAATGCTATACTGAAAGTGAAGAACAGAATGGTTGTATGAGCACCATCAGAAAGTATGGTGGTACTCGTAGCTTAGTGGGTAGGGCACCGGCCACATGCACTGAGGCCAGGGCCAGCTAAACAACTGCAACAACAACAACAAAAGTAGCCGGGCATTGTGGTCCCAGCTGCTTGGGAGGCTGAGGCAAGAGAATTGCTTAAACCCAAAAGTTTAAGGTTGCTGTGAGCTGTGACATCATAGGGCAACATAGTAAGATTCTGCCTTAAAAAAAAAAAAAGAAAGTTGACATACCATTATGTTGACCTGTTGTAAATTGGGGACTGTCTGTTGTTGCAGTTTCAAGTAGGAATGCGAGTTGATAATATGGTTGAAAATACATTGCTAGTTTGTTCAGATTAGGAATGGAGAGTGGTAAATTAAGAGAATAAAACACCTGAAGGAAAAAGTGTTATTTACATTCTCTTCACTTCATGTATCCCTTCAGCCTTCTCTTCCTACTGGTTAGACAGAATTAAGATGGCAATGTACAGTTTTATATCTTGCCCCCCACACCATTAAGTGAATTTCCAATTGATTAATATTCTTTTTACAAAATAGAAAACTATGTTCATTAAAAACCATAGGGAGGATGATAAACTGTGTCGTTTTATACATGGGAGAAGTACGGGATATAGCAAGGAGAATAAATGCATATTATCAGATCACTTTCAATTTGGTCTGATAGGAAAAGTATTAAAAGTCAGTTAAGCAATGTCACTGGTTAATGAAGTAGATCCAGAAAGGATGAGCTTTGAGCTATGCAAGCCGTTCTCGTTCTTAATGTTATCTGAGATTTGACAAACTGTTAATTATTGCTGATATTTTTATCATGTATATTTTAGTGGGACTGTTGGTTTAGCAGATCTTCTTATACCATTATTGCTTCTTGTTGATAGAGGAGTGTTTTTTAATGGTTTAAATCCCAGTCAGTTTTTGTTAAAAAACAAAACATCTTTGTTTCCAGCAGAGATCTCATTAAAGGGAGGTTTTGCTGCACTTGATTGGAAAATTGAAACAAAATGCTGGTGAGGTTGGCAGTTCTTATCTGTGGGAGTGAACAGAGAGATCCTTTCTCTCTTACTCTCTTATTCATCTAGCGGGAAAGTTAATCTAGTTGCTTTGAATTTAGGAAAGCAGGCTTTCTTCATAGGGATTTCTTTTCTAAAATGGCATTAATTGTCAATTAAAGTTGCTGTGGGAAAGGAGAAATGGGTTCATGGCACCTCTGGATAACTTATTCTCATGGTCCTAAATGACAGCAGGGTAACAGATTTAAAGTAGGCACTTGTAACAGTGGGTGATGACAAATGTTCTGAGAATGTCATGCTCAGCTTTCTCCCCTTTCAGCCTACCTTTTGATAATTCTGAATGGTGTTTGTTTGTTTGTTTGTTTGTGTTTGAGATAGTCTCACTGTGTTGCCCTTGGTAGAGTACGGTGGTATCATAGCTCATAGCAACGTAAAACTTTTGGGCTTAAGTGATTCTCTTGCCTCATCCTCTCAGGTAGCTGGGACTACAGGTGCCCGCCATAATGCCTGTCTATTTTATTGTAGTTTTCATTGTTGTTTATCAGGCCCAGGCCAGGTTTGAAACCTCCAGCCCCAGTATGTAGCCAGCACCCTCAGCACTGAGCTACAGGCACCAAGGCCTGAAATGTTTTTTTTTTAAGTTTTATTTGTAAGAGATTTTATGAAGAAGAATTCCGTGGCAGCTGCAACAGGAAAAATAACAAATGGGACTTAATTAAACCGAAAAGCTTCTATACAACTAAGGAGACAACAACCAAAGAAAACAGACAACCAACCTTCAGAATGGGAAAAGCTATTTGCATATTATGAATCGGACAAAAATTGTATAACTAGGATCTATAGAGAACTCAATTAACAAAAAAAGACCCAACAATTCCATGTATCACTGGGCAACAGACATGAATAGAACCTTCTCTAAAGAAGACAGAGGAATGGCTAACAAACATATGAAAAAATGCTCATTGTCCCTGATTATCAGAGAAATGAAAATCAAAACTACCCTGAGAGATCACCTAACCCCAGTGAGAATGGTCCACATCACAAAGTCAAGCTACAGATATTGCCATGGATGTGGAGAGAAGGGAACACTTTTATACTGTTGGTTGGACTGCAAATTGATACAACCTTTTTGGAAGGAAGTATGGAGAACCCTCAAAGAATTCAAGCTAGATCTCCCATTTGATCCTGCAATCCCATTACTGGGCATCTACCCAGAAGGAAAAAAAAACCTTTTATCATAAAGACACTTGCACTAGACCAGGGTCCTCAAACTTTTTAAATAGGGGGGGGGCCAGTTCACTGTCCCTCAGACCATTGGAGGGCCAGACTACGGGCCTTGGGACAAGTCGGCTGCTAAGAAGGACAGGCAGTGGTGGCAAAAACACCTGGCAGGCAGGATAAATGTCCTAGGTGGGCTGCATGTCGCCCGCAGGCTGTAGTTTGAGGACGCCTGGACTAGACTGTTTATTGCAGCTCAATTTATAATCGCCAAAACATAGAAACAGCCTAAATGCTCCCTAACCCAGGAATGGATTAACAAGCTGTGGTATATGTACACCATGGAATACTATTCAGCCACTAAAAAAAGATGGAGACTTTACAGCCTTTGTATTAACCTGGATGGAAGTGGAACACATTATTTTTAGTAAAACATCACAAGAATGGAGAAGCAAGAATCCAATGTACTCTGTTCTAATATGAAGGCAATAGATGAGCTAATACAAGGGAGAGGTAGGGGAATGAATAATTGGGGAGAGGGGAGGAGGAAGGGCAATGGGGGTTCACAGTGTATGGCACACCTCGTGGGGGTGAGATAAAATTGTAAGAGGGACTTTACCTAACAAATGCAATCAGTGTAACCTAATGCTTTGTACCCTCAATGAATCCCAAACAATAAAAAAAAATTTTTTCTATAATAAAAAAAAATTGTATTTGTAAATAAATACATTTTTAGGGACCCCAGTTCCATAACATAGTAACATTAAGAGAGACTGAATTTTTTTTTTTATTAAATCATAACTGTACATTAATGCAGTCATGGGGTACAATGTGCTGGTTTTATATACAATTTGAAATATTTTCATCTAACTGGTTAACATAGCCTTCATGGCATTTTCTTAGGTATTGCGTTAAGACATTTATATTCTATATTTAGTAAGTGTCACATATACCCTTGTAAGATGTACTGTAGGTGTGGTCCCACCAATTACCCTTCTTCCACCTGAGAGACTGAATTATTTAAACTTCCAAGAGCAGTTGACCCAATTTAAAAGAAATTTATTTTGAATTTATTAATACTCATCCCGTAGATAATTTATTTTCTACTCTAGTAAGGGGTTTATGACAGGAGGTGAAACTACACTATGGTTTGAGCAGGGCCTATATTGGAGCTTATATCACTTACGGTGATTCTTGGGGAAGTATTGAAGATTGTTCATTTGCTTTTTAAAATTTTTTTGTGTGTACATGTATAAACAGATACTAGATAAAGCTGCTTTTTAGTATTTATAAACGAAGCTTGAGAAGGTAATTCTGAAGTAAAGCTAGGTGGAGTAGTCGTGTTTAATTGTGACCACCCCTATCAAAATGGTCTCATCTGTCTCTGTAGCACGCATGTTTATAATTGCTGTGTTCAGAGGTACTTAACTTTCCCTTCCTTTGCAGAATGTGAGGAATACCTTTAAATGTTTTGTGCCATTAAATATTTTTAAATAATGCTGTTGCAGTTTTTATCCTTTTCTGATGTTAAGTATAATGTTACAAATTAGTTTAAATTCAGATTTCAGCTGCATGAAATGAATATAGAGCAGCATCTGTGCAGATTAAGTTAAAAACGAAGTTCCTGTGTGTAGTTTCCTATCTCTTAAAACAAGAGCAAACAAAAGTCTTTCCATAATTACAAAGCTCCCTTTCGAGTATCTCTGATATTAATAGTCTAAACTTTGATATCTCAGTTTGCTAAAGTATTTGGTGGATATTCCTGTATGTTTCTTTAAGGACATTTTCTTAAAAGGTGAATGATTTGTTTTTCTTTTCCTTTATCAGAACATAACAATGGAGGAAACAGCTATATGGGAACAACACACAGTGACACTTCACAGGGTAAGTTTCTGTTGCAGTAAATAATCTGTGTATGACTCAGGATACTGGCAGCTTTTGAAAACAATAGGAGAAAAGTCAGATGTCAGGAAGTGAAAAGGGGGGGATTTTCTATATTCTCTTGTTTAAAATTAAGTCACAATAAATTTTTTATTAAGGTCAAAAATGAACATGATTACTTCTTCATATATCCTTTTGGTTATCTTAGTTTTATTTTCCAGAATATTACAGGGATATGAACATTGTAGTTACATAAATTGCTTTTGTCCAGTTCGAGTCGAAGTTGTCAGTGTGCCCTTAACCCAGATAATGTGTATTGTACCCAGTTGGTATAAGTCACCCAGCTCCTTTCCCCTTCTCATCTGCTTGATTTCCAGTGAGTGTTACTTTCTTTTTTTTGAGACAGAGCCTCAAGCTGTCGCCCTGGGTAGAGTGCTGTGGCATCACAGCTCACAGCAACCTCCAAATCCTGGGCTCAAGCGAGTCTCCTGCCTCAGCCTCCCAAGTAGCTGGGACTACAGGCGCCCACTGCAACGCCTGGCTATTTTTTGGTTGCAGCTGTCATTGTTGTTTGGCAGGCCCGGGCTGGATTTGAACCCGCCACCTTAGGTGTATGTGGCTGGCGCCCTAGCCACTTGAGCCACAGGTGCCAAGCTGAGTGTTACTTTCATACATGCTCACATAAGTGTTGATTGGTGACTTCCAAGTTAATAATGAGTATATCTGCTGTTGATTTTTCCATTCTTGCAATTCTTCACTTTAAAGAAGGGTCTCTAGTTCCATCCAGGAACTAATAAAAGAGGTATTAGTTCACCATTCTTTTAGAATGACTGAGTAGTACTCCATGGTATACATATACTATATCACATTTTATCAATCCACTCGTATATTAATGGCCACTTGGATTTGAATTGTTGCCACATCTTTGTGATTGTGAATTGTGCTGCTGTAAATAGTTGAGCGCAGGTGTCTTTTTTATAAAATGTCCTTTTTTACCTCGGGTAAATACCCAGTAGTTCTTTGAGGTACCTATGTAGTACTTGCCATAGAGCTTATACTACTAGTTTATGGTCCCACTAGTGATAAGGGAGTGTTCCTTTCTCTCCACACCTCTGCCAGCATCTGTTGTTTTGGGATCTTTTGGTAAGAGAGATCCAAAATATACTCCCATTATATGGTTATGGGATATGGTAAGTGAGATTCCCAAATATACTCCCATTATATAGATATACTATATGTTGCTTAGTTAACAGCAACTAAAAAGAACTGGGTTATCTCTACTTTCTGGCTCTTGAAAATAATGGTGCCATCAACTCTCATGTATAACTTATTATGTGGCCATTTGCTTTCATTTCTCTGGAGTAAATGCTTAGGAGCATAACTGTAGGATCACACGGTAAGTCTATGGTTAACTTTTGAGGAACTCTCAAACTGATTTCTATGGTGACCACACCATTTTACAGTTCCATCAGCAATGTATAAAGGTTCTAATTTACCCACATCCTGGCCAACATTTGTTACTGTCTTTGTCAGTATAACCATTCTAGCAGGAGTGAAGGGGCATCATGCATGGTTTCTGATATACATTTTACTAATGGCTAATAGCACTGAGTATCACCGGAGTTAGGTGATTATCTCATTGTAGTTTTGATTTGCATTTCTCTGTTTTTACTTATGACTTAAAGTGATTTGTTTTTTTAAATTTTGAGTGATTGTAAAAAAGACTGTGTACGTTAGTGTAAATGTTAAAGTGCTTCCACCTGTAAGTGTATGTGCATATATTGTTAAATGTGAAGTGCAGAATTAAGCCAGGTTGTATGCATATTAAAATACTGAAAGATACTTGATGATTTGAAATTTGTGGCCCCAAGCTGCTACTTAAATAATTACAGATGAATGGAGGGGAGATTACTACTATGAGAACTTTGTTTGAAGTGGCATTACCCTGAATGTGAATCTTGCCTATGCTTTTTTCTTGCTGTAAAAGTGGGTGTGTAGGTCAGTCCCTTCTAAAGCCTGGTGTTTACATGTTTACATTGAGACTCAGGACACCAGCTCATGTTTTGGCAATTGATAAAGTTCCAAACCTCCCCAAATTCTCTTTCCTCCCTTTGAAGGGAACTTAGTTGCTGATTACTCTCCTTCTCAAAGAATATGCCCAAAGAGATTAGAGAATATTTAAATGTAGGTTATATACTTTAATACCAGCTGTATCCATTATTACGAAGATGGAAAGAGTTTGGAAAAGCAAGTTCCTGAACCCTGTCCTTATTATGTCATGAATGTTTAAATCTGTACATACTGATAATAGGTAAATTAATTATTTAAAAAAACAGTGGTTTTCAGACAAGATATAGTTGGCTTTTTGTTGAAGGAAATCATTAAATAGTTCCTTTAATTTATAAAACTGAAATATGGACTCCTTTTGTTTGAAATGTGGTGATAGGTAGCATATGTAAATCACATACATATGATTAAACATATGAAATAACTTTATGCCTTATGACTGTTTAATTTTTGTGATATCGATTAATTGGTATTACATTTTTGTTAATACCTTTATTATTGATATAATTTATATTCAGTACAATTCATCCTTAGTATAAAGTTCTGAGTTTTGACAAGCACTTGTGGTCATATAACCAGCACCACAATTAAAATATAAAATAATTTCATTACCCTAAAACTTTCCCTTGTGCCCCATCCCCTCTCTCCCAGCACTTAACCACCAATGATAGGTTTTCTGTTCCTATACTTCTGCATTTCCAGAATACCATGTAAACGGATTCATAGAATCAATACGCAGGCTTTTGAGGCTGACTTCTTACACGTAGCCAAGTGCATGAGATTTCTCCATGCAGCTGCTGTGCCAGCAGCTAGTTCTTCTCATTGCCGAGTAGCATTTTGTTGTGTGAATGTGTAATGACTTGTTATTCATTCTCCAGTTGTGGTACATTTGGGTGTTCACAGGTTTTTGGTGATTATGAATAAATGTGCTTTAATTACAGGGTTTTTTAATGAATGTAATTTTTTCATTTCTCTTGGGTAAATACTTTAGTGGAGTTGCTATAGGTTGTATGGTAATTGTTTAATTTTATGAGAAAGGGCTGACAAGATGTTTAAAGGAAATGCTCATTGGAGAATATTGGATTTCGGATTTTCAGATTATAGATGTTCAACCTATATTATCAGATTTTTTAAAAACTGTAGCTTTTCTAATAGGTGTCTGGTGGTATCTCATTTTAGTAGTTTGCATAACTACAGATTAGTGATGATGAGCATCTGTTGATATGCTTGTTACCCACATATCTTCGTTGGTAAAATGTTTTCACATCTTTTGTCCATTTTGAATTGGGTTTTTTCTTATTATAGGTGTTTTTAAAACTGTGAGAAAACATACATAATGTAGAATTCACCTTGTGTGCAGTGCCTTTTGTCTATTTTTTAATCAGGTTGCTTCTTTCTTTAGTTGTTGAGTTGCAGGAGCTCTTTATATACCATGGATATTGACCGCCAGGATATTTGCAGACGTTTGACTTGCAAATATTCTATTCCGTGGGTTACATCTTTATTCCGTTGATTATCCTTTTTGATGCACAACAATCACTGAGTTTTAAGAGGTGTATATATATTCAGGATATAGGTCCTTTGTCAGGTATTGCTTTGTAAATATTTTTTTCCTAGTGTGTGGTCTGCCTTTTTCTTCTTTTAAACAGCGTCTTTTGCAGAGGATAACTTTTAAATTTTGATTTAAGTCCAACTTGTTTATTTTTGCTTTTACTGATCATATTTTTGGTTTTGTATCTTAGAAGTCTTTGCCAAACCCAAGGCCACAAATATTTTTTCTTGTGTTTCTTTTAAAAGTTTTGAGTTATATTTTGTTTGTGTTATAAGATACAGGCAGAGAATTTTTTTATATTGATGTCCAATATTTTAAAGAACGATTTTGTTGAAAAGATTATTTTTTTCTCTATTTAATTGCCATTTGAATAGACGTTTCTTCAAGGAAGATGTAAACATGTACAATAAACACATGAAAGATACTCAGTAAAATGTATATCAGAAACCATGCATGATGCCCCTTCACTCCTGCTAGAATGGTTATACTGACAAAGACAGTAACAAATGTTGGCCAGGATGTGGGTAAATTAGAACCTTTATACATTGCTGATGGAACTGTAAAATGGTGTGGTCACCATAGAAATCAGTTTGAGAGTTCCTCAAAAGTTAACCATAGACTTACCGTGTGATCCTACAGTTATGCTCCTAAGCATTTACTCCAGAAAAATGAAAGCAAATGGCCACATAATAAGTTATACATGAGAGTTGATGGCACCATTATTTTCAAGAGCCAGAAAGTAGAGACAACCCAGTTCTTTTTAGTTGCTGTTAACTAAGCAACATATAGTATATCCATATAATGGGAGTATATTTAGGAATAAACAGAAATGAGGAACTGATACATTTATAACATTTATGAACCTGAAAACATTATGCTCGATGAGAGAAGCTAGTCATACAGGACCATATATTGTATAATTCCACTCATATGACGTGTAAGAGTAGGTGACTAGTGGATAGTTAGATTGTGGAAGCTTAGTGTGGAGGGATGAGGACTAAAGATTAGAGAATTTCTTTTCAAGGTGATGGAAATATAAAATTGATTGCAGTGATAGTTGTACAACTGTGAATGTACTAAAAATAATTGAATTATACACTTTAAATGGTGAATGTTATGTGAATTATTGCTCAGTAACGCTGTTCAAAGGGGGTGAGCGTCCGCCTGTCTGCTGAGCACCCTGCTGCTGTCAGATGGAGAAGGTATTATGCTAAAGCAAGCATCTAAAATACAGTTGCTTTAACTGTAGGTTATCATTTACATATATGGAGTGCATTACAGATGTTTCAAACCTTTCACTTTATTTAATTATCTATGAAATAGGTGGTAGTCACTGCATGGAGTAAATTGATTCTCAGAAAGGTCTAGTGAAATGCTGTAGTTT